GGTTCGGTCCCTCCGTGGTGCGATGACGGGTCCTGCTCCTGCCCAGGTGGGGTTTCGGAAGGGGCCGGGGCCACTGCTGAGCCGCCTGGCCTCACGCAGCCAGCTGGAGCTGGTGCTCTGCGCCGTCACCGTCTCCCTGGCCCTGCTGCTCAGCGTTGCCGTCGTCGCCCTGGCCATCCAGTACCGCAGAGGTAGGGAGGGGCCCTGCGGCTCTGCCGGGACAGTGGTGGCATCTCCACACCCGGGGGGAACACGGCACGATAGGGAGGGAAGGGTCAGCCTGGGACTCCTGCTCCAGGTGCTCTGCCCGCCCCGGGGTGCAGACAGGGCTTGGCCCTGCCCCGTGCCTCAGTTTCCCCTGGCACACGCGTACAGCCGCAGGCATACCTTCCCTGGCAGATCCCTCTCACAGCACGTGCCTGACGGACGCCTGCATCCGGGTGGCCAGCAAGATCCTTGAGGCCCTGGATGCAGAGACAGACCCGTGCCAGGACTTCTACCAGTACTCGTGCGGGGGCTGGATCAAGAGGAACCCGCTGCCCAACGGGCGCTCCAAGTGGAGCACCTTCAACAGCATCTGGGACCAGAACCAGGCCATCATGAAGCATCTCCTAGGTGGGCACCAGGGTAGTCACGGCCACCGGGGGGGTGACCTCCGGGCACAGATGGGCAGAGCCCCGGCATCCCCAGGGCTGACCCGCAGCCTCCCGCAGAGAATGCCACCTTCAACTCCAGCAGCGAGGCGGAGCGGAAGACACAGAGGTACTACCTGTCCTGCCTCAAGGAGCAGAGGATAGAGGAGCTGGGCTCCCAGCCCCTCATGGAGCTCATCGACAAGGTGGGCAGCCATCCGCATGTGAACCGAGCTGTTGGGGCTCAGCCCAGCATGTCTCCTGCTTGGCTCTTCACATTACTGGGCAGGGACCAGCCCTCGGGGACGGGCCCTGTCCCTCCTTGAGGTGCTGGGTCCATCTGCCAACAGATCGGGGGATGGAACATCACCGGCTCCTGGAACCAGACTAGCTTCATGGAGGTCCTCAAGGTGGTGTCGGGCACGTACCGGGCAACCCCATTCTTCACGGTGTACGTGGGTGCAGACTCCAAGAGCTCCAACAGCAACGTCATCCAGGTTGGCACCTTGGCACTGAGGGGCAGCAGACACCATGGGGCACCAGCGGGCTCGGGGCTGCCCATGCTGCCCCTCTCTCCCTCTAGGCGGACCAGTCAGGGCTTTTCCTCCCATCCCGGGATTACTACCTGAACAAGACTGCCAACGAGCGGGTGAGGCTGGGGGCCCGGAACCCTGCCGGGCGAAATCCGGGGAATC